AGAACCTCTTTTTCTTTTGGTCAAATATTCGCTTTTTAATTTTACGAAAAAATAACTTTTAGTCAAAGAAAGAAAATTTCACAAAATATATTGCACAGAAATGTAACCGTTCCCATTCAACATGTGAATGCGTATTATTTCTCAAATCTTAAATATTACATAATCGTTTCATAGCTGGTTAGAAGCTATATTATTTGTGTAGTAAATCATGCATAAGTAAAAATATATTTAAGTTGAAGTCAACAAATTTAATATAGTGTTTAATTTGCAATTCAGAAATCTTGCATAATTAATAAATATATTAGTTATAAAGAAATTTATACATTATTTTGTGCAAGATAAAATATAGAACATCTAATATATGAATAATTAAATTATATTTAACTAATTTCTCTATAAAATAATATCTAAATTTTCTTATAACTATTTTTTATATTACTAATATTTACATAATTCTGACTATCTATCAAATGGTTTAAAATTGGCTCTATTTTTTTTTTTTATAATAAATAAATATTGAAATAAATATTGGCAAGTTTCTGTGATGTCAAATTAACACCATGGTACGCACTTTTTTATTTTTCGACAGACTAACATAGTACCTAAATTTAATTCTAGAAAAGAAAATAAAACAAAGCAGAAATAGAAAAAGTACTAGCCCTAGCACTTTAAATGGATTATAGAAGTGCCACGTCATCAGAATCAAGTTCCAAAAAGTGGGCCCCACTGGGAATAGTACTTTATTGGGCCCTACCTGATACTGACCCATTGGTTAATTCTTGTCACAAACCGTGTGCGTACGTGGGTTCACTTCCAATACTTAATTTATGGTTGGAAGTTTCTATTGATTTGGCTTTGTATCTATATAATTAATTAGAAAAATGTTATTTATAATGATCTTTTTTTGCTTAAAATGGCTTCATTTAAAACTTAAATGTTAAGGTGTTACTTCGTATATATATTTTACAATAATTTAGAAGTAAAAAATAATGCTTCAACTTTTAACATTAAAATATACCTTCTATGTCCAAAATTTAATGTTTTTTTTTATTTTTTATATTGGATATTAATTTGGGTCATGAATTGTTCATGTAGATTGATTGAATTCGTTTGAAGAGATAATATCAAAAAAAAGTTACCTAGGAATTCTAAAAAAAAAGTTATTGTACAAAAATAAAAAAGTGAAAACACGTGCAAAGTTTTTCGATGGGTAACTTTCTAATTAACTCCGCTCTTATATATATAATTGTTCAAGTGGACTGATTGAATTCGTTTGAAGAGATAATATCAAAAAAGTTACCTAGGAATTCTAAAAAAAGCTATTGTACAAAAAGAAAATGAAAACACGTGCAAAGTTTTTCGATCAATAACTTTTCTAATTAACTCCGCTCTTTTTTTTTTTATATATATATATATAGGGTAATGCTAATGGCTAGAAAATTGGGCCAGAAATTTAAAAAGTCTATAATATCCTTTTTATTTAAAAATAAACTGATCTGTTTTTCATTTTTTAATTAAAATGTATTAAAGTTAAAAAGGTAAAAATGTTCAAAAGGTAAATAACATATTTATTTTACCATTCTGGCCAAATTCTCTTTTACTAAAATAGAAACACACAATAACAATACAACATTTAGTTTGTAAACTCAGAGTTTGTTTCTAAGAGATTCAAAGTGGATTTGGGTTGATTCATTTGATAGCAAGATCAATGATTTTAACTGTAATTTTAAGGTATACAATTCATTATTTTTATTCTTTGTTTATTCTTATAATTATATATATTTTTTAAAAGAAAACCTAATAAGAGATTTGAAGATCAAAATAGTTTCTAAAAAAAACTACCGTGCAAAGATTCAAAAGTGAAAATGTGTTCTTTAATCGATAGTTTTTCTAATTAAGTCCGCTCTTATATATATCTTGTCTATTCGAAGAGCAAAAGAGGGTGAAGAAGAAATTTTTCTTCTTTTGCTAAACATAAACACACAATTACACTAGAACATCTAGTTTGTGAAATCAGAGCTTTTTTTCTAAGATAATCAAAGCAAATTTGGGGCGATTCTTTTAAGAGTAAGATCAACAATTTTGTTACGATTTTAAGATACACAATTCATCATTTTTATTCCTTTTTTATTCTTACACCTGTTAAAATAATTAAAAAATAATATGATATTTGACTATCAAAATAATTCCTAAAGAAAACTACCGCACAAAGATAAAAAAGGAAAAATGTGAAATATTTCTTGATTGATAGTTTTTCTAGTTAAGTGGCTCTTATATATATATATATCTCCGTTAGAAGAGACAAACAGGGTAAAGGAGAAACGTGCGATGTTTCTCTTGATAATTTTTCTAGTTAAGTCCGCTCTTATATATATATCTCCATTAAAGAGAAAAACAGGGTGAAGGAGAAAATTTCTACTTTTGCGAAACTGAAACACACCGTAACACAATTCTCATATCTCTCCTTTTGTTTTCAACAGATTCAATAGATTTGTGGCGATCCTTTTGCTAGAAAGATTAGTGATTTCCGGTGCGACTAGATCTAAGGTACACAATTCGTCATCCTTGTTTGCCCTTACACTTATGAAAAAAACTAACATAAAACTAATTCCTAAAAAAAATTATCGCACAAAAGATTAAAAAAAAAACGAAAACGTGCAAAAACAAGAATTGATCGATAGTTTTTCTAGTTAAGTCCGTTCTTAAGTCTTATCTTTTTCATTAGAAGAGAAAAGGAGGGTGAAGAAGAAAAATTCTTCTTTTACTAAACATAAACACATAATAACATCAAGACGTCTAGATTATGAAATTAAAACTTAATTTCTAAGAGATTCAAATAAATTTGAGGAGATTTTTTTTATAGCAAAATCAACTATTTGAATTTCGATCTTAAGATATATAATCCATTATTCTTACTCCTTATTTATTTTTATACTTATAAAAATAATTTTTAAAAATATTAATTTGAGATTTGACTATTAAAATAATTCATTATAATCATTTTGACAACTTTTATCAAGCTTGACTGAAAAGGTAATGAAATCTATTCAAAGAAAATTGTCACGGTCAAATGCTACTTGTCTTTTGGCTCTTTGCAGCAAAAAGATGTTCATCTAATAGGAATATTTTGTTCTAACTTTTCAAAAATACTATTTAAAATATTTATTGAAGAGTTAAATTATTTAAAATAAAGTTATTGTTAATTCTAATTTGATGAATACATCTTTTAATAGTTATTTCAATGTATAAGACTACTCTGGATATGTTCTTATTGTTATTGTACATTTTTTATAAAGTTAATCTTACCTTAAAAAAAGGATCAAATTCTCTTTTATATATACATTTAGAGAAGTTAGTTTTTTGAGCCTTTACTTCAAAGTTGAACAACTTTTATTTTTATTGTAATTACTTTTTTCACATTAAAAACGACAATAATAGACCTAATGTAGTTTATAAAGTGAAGTTTGAGAGGATATAATGCACAGTGTGTGCATGCACGCCTTACCTTACTGTAAAGGTAGAATTGTTATTTTTGATAAACCATTGATTCAAGAAAAACAATCCAAAACAGTTTAGAAAAAGAACAAACAGAAGCAAAAGTAATATATATATATATATATATATATATATATAGAGAGAGAGAGAGAGAGAGAGAGAGAGAGAGAGAGAGAGAGAGAAGTTAGTTTTTTGAGCTTTTACTTCAAAGCTGAACAACTTTTGTTTTTTTCGTAAATACTTTTTTCACATTAAAAACGACGATAATAGACTTAATGTAGTTTCATAAAGTGAAGATTGAGGAGGATATAAAGCACGGGGTACGCACGCACACCTTACTTTTACTGTAGAGGTAGAATTGTTATTTTTGAAAGACCATCGATTCAAGAAAAACAATCTAGAAAAAGGATAAACATAAGCAAAAGCAATTGAATAGTTTTTTGAGCTTTTACTTCAAAGCTGAACAATTTTGTCTTTTTCGTAAATAGCTTTGTCACATTAAAAACGACAATAATAGACTTAATGTAGGTTTATAAAAGTGAAGTTTGAGGAGGATATAATGCACAGTATACACACACACACCTTACCTTTACTTTAGAGGTATAATTGTCTTTTTTTTTATAGACAATTGATTCAAGAAAAACAATCCAAAACAGTCTAGAAAAAGGATAAAGAGAAGCAAAATAACATAAATAAACAAAATAAGAGTAGCAACAGTACTGCGACTACTAGTACAAATAAAAATTAAGACAACACACTATTACCAACTAACCTCCTATCCTATTCTCCACTCTTCACAATCTCTTATTTAAGATCATCTCTTCGATAAGTTAAAACTAACGCCACATATTTTTTAATACGAAGTTTGACCAACTCAACGCACAATTTCTCTTTCTCTGACTCACAAAAACAGAAACACGTTTTTAATAGTCTCTCTCTTTCAAGATCCAAATTACTCGTTTCTTTTTGTATATATTTTCTCATTCAAATATTATAATTTTTTTATTAAATTACTTTATTTAAATAAAATAATCTCAGATACTTTCTTGAACTGATAATATAGTATATATTCTATCATTATTTTTATTTAAGTAACAATATATTTCCTTTTCCAAACAAAACAAGAAATATAGTTGTTTCTTACTGTAAAATAATATTTTCCCAATTAAAGTATAAGTAGGATAGACATTTACTAATTACTATATATACTATAAACTATAAAAACTTGTGGTTTTAAAGTTAAATATGAAAAAAAAGAAGTCAAATACTCAATATTTTATTAACTCTATTAGAGGAATTAAGGAACTGTTATTTTTGAGGTAATTTTATTTATAATTTTTTGTTATTCTTTTCTTCAGTCTGGGGCTTTCTTGTTATGTAATGTACATCACGTAGTATGTGTTTAGTAGAAAAAACCATGAAGATATATATATATAAAAAAAAAATTGGTGTCTTTTTGGGGATTTCTTGATTCTATTGTAAATCTTTTTTTTTTGTTTAATTTAATTGAATTTGTTGAGTCTTTCCTATTCATATTATTTTTTTGGGTAATTTTGTAACTATTCCTTAAATTTACCCAGTTTTCCAAGATTTGATTTTTATCTATTGATTTTATCTCCTTATTAGATTTAAGTAAAAAAGATTTGATTTTTTTCTTTTTTTTTTGTTTGGAATTTAATTGGTGAAATTTGAGGTCTGAATAATTTGTTCTTGATTCTGTGAGTACAAGAATTTGCTTACGTGAATCATTGATTACAGAGAAGGTTTAATTTGGTATATAATTGCTTCTCTGTTTTTTTTTTTTTTTTTAAATTTTGGGGTTTTCTGTTTATATATTTATTCTCTGTTTATAGGTTTTTTTGCAGTTTGAATGATTAATGCATATTTATATTCAAGAATTCTGTCATAATGAATTTTGACTGAAATTGTTGTCTTTGCAGGTTTGGTTAATTTAGGGTTGAATTGGATTAAATCAGTGGTTAGAGTTTCAGTTAGCTGAATTTCTTTATGATCTTGGAGGTATAAAGCTTCAATCTTTTGTATTTAATCTGTGTTATTGCATTGTCTAATTGTCTCCATTTTGTTAATGCATTGTAATATTTGTGATTTAATTTGGTTCTTATCCCTTTTCCTGAAGTTTCCACAGAAAAGTTCTGTTTTTTTGTGGTGGGAGTGGGGGCGGGGTCAGGGGCGGAGTTCGGTAGGGCCGAGGGGGTTCGGCGGAAAATTTCACAGTTTATTCATGGTTAATTTTATTTTTTATGTATGATAAAAATTTTGTTTTTTATGTAGATGTTTGAACCCTCTTTTGGCTTCTTCGTATATGAGTTCTTCCATAGTGAAGCAAATGATCTAGTCAATCATTCTGCTACCGATTATCCAAGTTTAGTATTTTGTGAGTTCCTAGGTTGTATCGAATGACTCCATTGAGAGTAAAGATATGTTCGATATGTAAGTGGTATAGTCACCACCTATAAGGCATGCACCATTGATACCTTACTACTTTCTAAGCTTTCTCTCGTCTGGCCAATCTAGTATTGCCATATAAGAAAACTGCCTGTATGGGTAGAATATCTTTGCTTCTTTTGCAAACTGTATTTTGATGCATTTTGTGTCCTCTGAAGAATTTACTCGAGTTTATGGATTCTACCCTCAACAATCCCGATTAGGTCCACTTAGAATTAATGGTTTTGATGCAACGGTGTTGCCTGTCTATTCTAACTCCCTTCCCTAGGAACTCGAGGGCGGTGAGAGATTGCGAGTAGCTTAGTCAGAATTAGTTCATTAATCTTATTCGGCGCAGGAGGTGTAATCACTTATTAATGTAGCTAAACTGCACAAAGGTCTAAAGATTTGTATGATTGATTTGGAGGATTCAGAATTCAGTCTAAATGCATTGAGAGCATAGAATTTCCATTCTATAAGTCCGTGTTTCCATTGACTATTAAATCACCATTAAATTTTGAAAATACCTGGTCAATACATTGATATAAAGAGAACGGATAGGGTGGCGCACGGCTAAGGCACGCTACCTGCACGGCCAAGCATATTCCCTAAAAATGCAATATGAGAAATTTTCAGTATCTTGAATTAAGGGAAATGTAAACAATAGTTCATGCATTGAATAAAGTTGTTTTCTGTTCCACTACCTGTTTATTTAAGTCGGTGGTAATCCTTGGAAGTTTCTCATAAAATGGTCATTTATATCAATTTGCCTTCCGTTTTTTCTTACCTTGTCGTTTTACTGTGTTGGCAGTTGAAAATTGTTATCTGTATCATCAATACAAATTTCTGAAATCCAGAAACTGTGGATTTGTCATCTTCAGAGCTAGGCCTTCATAACTGAAGAGAGAGCGCACCAGTTCAATAAGCATCGATCATTTCTAAGATACCTGACAAGGTAAAGGTTATATTTTGTCCTTCAGGCATAAAATTAGGGGTATTCGTGCTCCAGGAGCATGAATGTTTGAAGCTTGACTTTTGATTTATAACTTGTTTATGTGTTTTTGATTGATTTTGAATAGTTACTTTCTTTCCCATATCTATCTTGTTTATACATTATGTAGCTTTAGTGTCTTTAATTTTTGAAACTATCTCGAGATATCGTTTTAAAAACAATTCCTGCCTTGAAATGTTGATAGATTTATAAAGGCCTTTATTGGCTATTACATTATTACAAAATTTTAATATAATTGGGTGCTAGGCATATTTAGGAAGATCACTATTAAATTTCGAAAATACTTGGTCGACACATTGATATAAAGAGCATGCACAGGGTAGACCCACACGGCCAATGCACCAACCCTGCACGGCTAGGCGTATTACCCCCGTGGCGCACGACCAATGCACCGACCCTGCACGGAATATTCCCGGAAAACCATATTGCATTTTGAGAATTTTTCGGGATCTTGAATTACTAAAGGGAAATGTAAATAATGGTTCATTCTTTGAATAAAGTTGTTTTCTGTTCCACTAACCACATATTTAAGTCAATTGTAATCCTTGGAAATTTCTCGTCAAATGGTCATTTATATCAATTTGCCTTCCATTCTTAAATAACTTGTTGTTTTCTTCATTGGCCGTTGAAAATTGTTATCTATCATCAATACAAATTTCTGAAATCCAGAAACTGTGGGTTTGTCATCTTCAGGGCGAGGCCTTTATAACTGAAGAGAACACAGTTCAATAAGCATCACTCAATTCAAAGATACCTGACAAAGTGAAGGTTATACTATCCTTCAGGCATAAAATTAGGTTTTGTGCTTCGGGGTGCAATCTGAAAAAGGAGCATGAAGGTTTGAAACTCGACTTTTGATTTTCAATTTGTTTATGTATTTTGATTGATTTTGAAAAACGTTAATTTCTTTCCTGTATCTATCTTCTTCTTGGATATATCATGTCGCCTTTACCCTATATGTGTAGTTTAGATATGTACTTGTTTAGATCTCGGATTATGTGATTGAGTGATTTGTAAAGAAATGCAAAAGGAAAAAAAAGAATTGGATATCTCGAGGACTAATTAAACTGCACGTAAGTAAAAAAAAAACATTTTGGGATGTAAGATGGCCCTAAACGCTTCGTCAGGATTGGCTCTTGAACTAGTGATGGTGTTGAAGATTCCTACATCGGATATAAAAGGGATTAGTGGTCTTTTTATATGATTTGGGTTGAGTTAGGGCCAAGATCCATTTTCATGGTGTCAGAGCAGGACCAATCTCAATTCATTACTTTAAAAAAAGGTAAAAGTCGACGGACTCCGTCTATTTTTCAATAAAAAAAATTAATTTTAATTTTTTAAATAAAACCAACAGATGTCCGTTCGTTTATTTTTCGCCCAAAACCGACGGAGTGCCTTGACTTTTATAAATAAAATTTACAAAAATTGAGGGATTGTCGATTTTTAAGTGCAAAATTGCAGTTGAGGAGTATAAATTATAAACAATAGAAGTATGTCATCAAAGAGCATGTGTGGTGTAGTGGTAAAATTGTTCTAATATATATATATATATATATATATATATATATATATATATATATATTTCCGATCAGTCATTTAAAAAAAAAAATTATATTGATTTTTAATTTAAGAAACCAATGGATGTCCTCGATTAAAAATCAAGTTGAGAAATTGTAGGAGTCAAGTCCGTCAGTTTTTGACCTATTTTTTGTAGTGATTCTTGCTTCTCGATGTTAGGCCCCCATATTAAATTGTCCACACTCCAGATGTGCAAGTCCTGGGCGTGGGGGGTGTTGAAGAGTCCAACATAGGATGAAAAAGGCATGGGTGGTCTCTTAAACCGACCCACCATTTCCCGACATAGTCAAGTCAGTCAGTTTTTGACCTGTTTTTTGTAGTGATTCCTGTTTCTCGATGTTAGGCCCCATATTAAATTGTCCACACTCCAGATGTGCAAGTCCTGTGCGTGAGGGGTGTTAAAGAGTCCAACATAGGATGAAAAAGGGATGGGTCGTCTCTTTACATAGCTTAGGTAGTCCTCACCTCTTGAGCTAACTTTTGAGGTTGAGTTGGACCCAAAATCCATTTCTTTAACATGGTATCAGAGCGGTATCAGAGCATGACCCGTCTCAATTCTTGTTTTCCGATGTTGGGCCCCCATATTAAATTACCCACGTTTCAGATTCCCAGTTTTGGCTGTGACGGGGTGTTGAAAAGTCCCACATCTGATGAACAAGGGATGGGTGATCTCTTTATATGGCTTGGGAAATCCTCACCTCTTGAGCTAGTTTTTGGGTTGAGTTAGGCCCAAGATCCATTTCGTTAATAAACTGTATTTCTCCTAAAAATTTTCAGTGCTTTGTCATATCTTGCAATGCTCAAATGCATAGCTGGTTGTCTGTTGCTTGTAGTAGTTCGTAGCTATATTTTATTAAGATTTTCTAGCAAGATTCAAATTTTGATGTTCATCAGTCTGCTGAATTTTCTTTTATCGATAAAAGGGAAAGTGACAATTCCTTTGTACTAACTGCCGGCTGTTCATTCCAACAGATCCTTATATCTGAAAGAGTTAGATCTGTTGAGCAATTCCTTGTCTGATTAGAAAATCATCCTGAGTGAAGATAATGCCCGCTGTTCATGTTTTCTTGTTCTTTTGATCCCTCAACTTGGGTGGAACTTATGGTAAGAACAGAAACCATGTGATTAGTCCCTTCAGAAGATTGGGGGGGGGGGGTTTCCGTACTTAGTTACTGGTGCAGATTAGGGAAAATCTTTGAAAAGGTCTCCCCTCCCAGCAAGCATAACCGGTATTAACTGATAAGAGGTTGTGTGATCAAATGATATCCCAGAAAGTGATGAATTGAGTGAACGTCATCGCAGCAAAAAGAAATTAAGGATACATACCCATACGTTACAAAAGGTTCCACCTTTTGCAGAATTTCCATTATTCTTTTGTTTGCCTTTACAAGACCCCATCATCGTTATCTCATGAATATTTTAGGCTGGGTGTCTGACTGATAACATGTACACTGGTATATCCATTATTATTCTTTTGCTCTCGTCCTACACAGTTTTATGCTGTATTCCGTACTGGCAAGATCTTACATGCTTCAAGGCATAGCTAAAGAAATTTTAAACAATTTATTTTTTAATGCTTTTTGACTAAAAGAAAATTTCTCTAGTAGAAATCACATTTGATTCTGCAGAAGAATTCATTTCAAGACTGAATTCATTCATCTGATTCAAATTTAATTCTTTTGCCTTCTCTTGCAGGGACATCCTTCTAGACAGGCTCCAAAAGGTGAAAATCACATTGAGAGTTCAGGAAGCCCTCGTAGGCGGAAGGTAGAAATGACACATCCATAAGTCCTTTTCAATTTGGTGTTCATCATTGCGTAGCTTGCAGAAATATGATTAGTAATGTACTGTGTGTAAAAACGTTCCCATTCTCCACATTTGATGTTGTAGGCAGCATAGTTGTGTATATGTTCTCATTTCTTGACATCTGCTGGATGTTGATAATTCACTTGGATAATTAACTCATCAAATTTTAGTTGAATTTCTAACCTCTATTTTAAGCATGATTCCGTTGCTGTCTAATGCATTTTTCCCTGAGAAGGGCGGGGTTGGGGATTGGGGATTGGGGAGTGGGTGGGTAAGTGTTAAGTTTTCAATAGCCTATTTCACCCTTATCCCTGGCAGTCATATGATCTCTCTCTCTCTCTTTCTCTCATAAATAGTTCTTTCTTGTTCTGGAACAGGAATCAGCAATATGGAGTCCTGGTGAAGCGCGTAGGCCCATCTTACAGGAAGCTCCTGTGTACTATCCAAATGATGAGGTAATCGTCACATTAAAAGAGTTATTATATTCCCTTTTGATCGCATAAATCCAGTGGTTAAGCTCATCCTGTGGTTAAATTATAGGAGTTCAAAGATCCACTTGGTTATATTGCAAGCATTCGCCACAACGCACAGCAATATGGCATATGCAGGATTGTACCACCTGCATCTTGGAGTCCACTCTGTCCACTTAGAGAGAAGAATGTGTGGGAATGTGCAAAGTTCTCGACTCGAATCCAGCAAGTTGATTTACTTCAGAATAGGGAGCCCATGAAAAAGAAAAAAACCAGGAAGAGGAAAAAACGATCGCACTCAAAGACGGGATCAACAAGGAGACAACCCAGATCTCTAGGTTCTGAATCAAATACTAATTCAGACAGTAGTGATGACAAGTTTGGGTTTCAGTCAGGGTCTGACTTCACATTTGCGGAATTTCAGACATTTGCCAAAGATTTTAAAGAGTTATATTTTAGGATGAAGGATACTGAGGTTTGGAAACCCTCCATTGAAGAAATTGAAGGTGAGTATTGGCGCATCGTTGAGAATCCAACAGATGAAGTTGAGGTAAGGGAATCTAGTTTGATATTTACTTTGTCTTTTGAGATATCTATTACATGCTCACTAGTTGGATAAGACTAAAATTTTGGCCTTCATCTGATGAATAGGTGTTATATGGAGCTGATCTGGAAACTGGAGTATTTGGCAGTGGATTCCCTCTAGAATCTTCATCTCCAAAAGCTAGTACTTTAGATCAGTATGCGACTTCTGGTTGGAACTTAAACAACTTATCACGCCTGCCATGTTCTGTATTGTGCTTTGAGGAAAGCAATATCTCAGGAGTTCTGGTCCCATGGCTGTATATTGGAATGTGCTTCTCATCATTTTGTTGGGTATGTCATGAAAACTTTTTTGTTTAAGCATTCAGCTTAATCTTAATATATAGTTGACCAATTGAACTTATCGAAGATAGCAAACTCTGTGCATTTATGAGTTCTTCCTTTGTTGCATCCTATACATATAAACCTGAATAGTATTGATCCTTTGTCTCCAAGTATTTACTGTTACTGACGACTGTTTTTTGAGGGAACATCTTGTGTCATAGGTCTATCTTTCTTTTCCCCCCTTTCTTTCTCTTTCTTTTCTTGGTTTCTTTCATTATTATTAGATCAAGTTATTTGCTTTATATTCGCTATATACTTATTTCCTTTTATCTGATTTCTTAAAGCATGTTGAGGACCACCATCTTTATTCTCTGAATTATATGCATTGGGGTGAGCCAAAGATTTGGTATGGAGTGCCAGGAAGTCATGCTGCAGCCCTGGAGGATGCAATGAGAAAGCATTTGCCAGATCTGTTTGAGGAACAACCAGATTTGCTTCACGAACTAGTAAGTATACAAGTTAAATCTTGATCAAGCACTAGTCATCCTTATTGTATTTGAGAAATAATCACATCTACATATAGTGTTTTATAGGTTCTAGTCAACTAAATCGGGCAATGATGAGCTGTGCAAGCTCCTTTTTCTGTTCATCAACCTCATCTAGTTACGAGTTACTGTTTTCAACTTACAAGTCCCTTTTCTTTATCAATAAACTTCACCTAATTTCCAAGTCTGCTCATCAACTTACAGATGTGAATATTGTAACATAATGTTTGGTTCATCACATGTGAAACACCTGACATTCTATTCTGACAATTTTTAACTGTAAATCGTACCAATTGCCATCAAGATTCTTTTCTTGTGTTAATCCTTCTTCCCTTCAGTTCTCTAATCTATTTCCAGTGCATTGGCACATTTCTTGATTGTTTGAGTGGTATAATTTGGGCCCGTGCTCCTGACTAACTTATTATTCTCTCTTTCAGGTGACTCAGTTGTCTCCTTCAGTTTTGAAGTCAGAGGGTGTACCAGTGTACCGCGCTGTTCAGAGCGCAGGGGAGTTTGTGCTCACATTCCCAAGAGCATATCATTCTGGATTTAACTGTGGGTTCAACTGCGCAGAGGCTGTTAATCTAGGCCCTGTTGATTGGTTAGAGCATGGACTAACTGCTGTGGAGCTCTACAGTAAACAATGTCGTAAAACCTCGCTTTCACATGATAAGTTGCTTATAGGAGCAGCTAGTGAAGCTATCCGAGCACTGTGGGAGCTCTCAGCTGTTAAGAATATTAACAGTATAAACTTGAGATGGAGAAGTTTCTGTGGGAAGGACGGCATGCTTACTAGAGCTATTAAGGTAAATTTCTGAGTATGTCTGTCAAAACATATGGTTGTGGATTTAAATTCATCTGTCATTGTGGTTTGACTCCGTAGATTAGGTATCTTCACACTTGAGGGATAATTTTACTTAGGTGTTGTAAGGTTCTGGCCTCCTGGTCCAAGTATGTACGGCATAAACTCCCTTATTAGATGTACGGCAAAAATTCCCTTAGATGTACTTTTAGTTTTCATTTGAAATTTTCTGTTGTCCTCCGAGCAAAAAAAATTATACTTTCCATTGTCAGGTACATGTAAACTTGTATTTGAGTTCTTTATCAAAATGAAATTCTGTTTGGGTTGAAGTATAGAATTCACCTCCGCTTTTGTGACTTACCAACAATAACATAGGATAAGAAAGGAGAGGTAGAAGTGTAGAACTGTGGTAACTGTTTTGTTTATTTTACAAGTAGAATAGTAACTTCAATCACTTCAATGAGATTTTTGGTAATTGTGGGCACATCCCTTAAAAAAACAACACATGTTAGGATATGACTATGTACCCTCGACTTTAAGAGTGCCATCCTCAAGGAATAAGAACTGACCAGTCAGCAAGGTGTCTGTTACATATTGATTTCTTTTCATAGAATTAAATTCTTAAGGATGTATGCAGATGCAATATAACAAAAATTCATATACTTAGAAGTGAAAAAGAAGCACATATTTTTTTAGTAATTTGTTTTTTTCTTACTTACAGGGAAGAATTGAAATAGAGGAGGAAAGACTGGAGCGTCTTTTACCTCTTGTACAACTTCAGACAATGGACAAAGATTTTGGCTTGAAAGATGAGCAGGAATGCTTTTCTTGCTTTTACGACTTGCATCTCTCTGCAGTTAAATGCCAATGTACCCCGGGACAGTTTTCATGCCTTAAACATTCTAACCTAATGTGTTCCTGTGAACCAGAGAACAAAACTGTTCTCGTCCGTTACAACAGAGATGAACTGAACACACTGGTACAAGCATTGGAGGGGAAATTGGTTGCTATTGAACAATGGACTTCCAAGGATCCTGATAATTTTTCTTTAAATAGGAGGCAGCATAACTCTGTGAAGCAGGATTCAGAGAGGGATGGATTGGAAATGGATCCCTCGATGAAAAATGATAGCTTATCAGGTTTGTTGAGAGAACAAAATCATAATCCAAAGAAGCAGTGCAGCTCATGCTCTGATGATGCGACCACCTCGTATGCTTCGAGTCACAGTAGTGGGAAGAAATTATTTGGGGTTGATCTTTCCAGAGGTTCTCCTGCTGTTCTACAAAACGGAACATTTGACTCAGAAAAAGATCTCCTGAGCACCAAGGTTTCTGAACAAACGCTTTTGTACCATGTTGACCCTCTAAGTTTAGGGTCAATTGCCTCAGGAAAGCTTTGGTGCAGTAAGCAGGCAATATTCCCCATAGGTTTGTTGAATATACTTTTCATACTAAGAAGACATTTTCATTTGATGCAACATTTTATTCAAATTTCAATGGCCTCACTATATATTTCAATATTGATGCTCTTTAACAGGATTTAGAAGTCGTGTTAAGTTCTTCGATGCCAGCAGTCCCGAGATAACTAGTAGCTATATATGCGAGATCCTGAATGGTGGGCTCATTGGACCTCTATTCAAGGTAAGATGCTATTCATAACTTTGCCCGATAAAATATGTGAGTTGAGAAAAAAATTGGATAATGAGGATTACTGTTATTTTATTCTAGTACTTGGAAGGAAATATGTGAGTTATTTCTCATTATTTTTGCATAGTGGTGTGTGTAAGGAAAAATTCATACTATTTTGTGTGCAGAGGAGGTACATTTACTTTATTTGTCGCAGCTAAGAATCTAGCACTTGATCTCCAAAACTTAGTCCACTACTCACCCTTTCTAAGTCTTCTCGTTAATAATTTTTCATGTTTATGAGCTCATAACAAAAGAACCTTTAGGCCTTTTATGCATGAGCTATTTGCAGTTGTGCTGCTTTTAAATTTTATTATTGCGGCTGTCGCCTTGCCTTCTGCCTTTTAATTTTTGTTATTGGCCTTGCAAAGGAAGATTGTCTACTTGAATTCTAGTTTTTATGAATTTGCTGGATGCTAATTATTGTCTACTTGGAGTTTCTGATTTCAGGTTAGCTTAGAAGAGTGTCCAGATACGAAGTTTGGGAGTTCATCAGCGCAGAAATGCTGGGAAATGGTCTCGCATAGAGTCTTTGAAGAACTAGCAACGAAGTTAAATCCAGGAAGGCAAGATTTGCCACCATTGCAACCTGACACAGAAAGCATCAACGGTCTCGGAATGTTTGGGTTACTCTCCCCACAGATAGTTCAGGTATACCTATATTATGTTGCTGTGTGCATGATTTTGCTCTTTCAAGTTTGTGATTAACTGGCTTTAGTTTGATCAACGAATAATCTGACATGCGATTTTGGATTAAACAAGGAAAGAATTCATAGTTGGATTTGTACAGTAGAAATGAGCAGGATTAATGCTACATTCCCAGACAAAACGGATCCCACTAAGGACAATAGGCTTCTATCTTGTGATCTTGTAATTGGTTTATTAGCGGAATCACCTTATTGTTATCAACTTTAAATTTAGATTCTTATGCACACTTCTCGTTTGAACCTAGGATCAGTTCTTCGATGTTGAGAGGAATCTCTTATTTCTGACTCTTTCAATAAGTAAAACTTCCTTCCAAAGTGAATTATTCCTACATTGTGCTAACTCTGGTGTATACAGTCCATTGAAGCTCTTGATACAAACCGTCAATGTCTGGAGTACTGGAACAACAAGCTAAAACTCAAGGACGAGTGTGTAACTGTCAAAGGGCCTTCAGGTTCATCGGAGAGTACTGTTGACATGGCAAGATCTGCTGTGATGGAAAGAGGTCAGTGTTCAGGAACCAAGGTGGCTACAGAGGAGGAGCATGCTAATTATAGTTCATCTAACACCGAGTTACAGTTAGTACTTAGGAGGCTTCTGAATAAAGCAGATCCAGAAGAACTGAGAATAATGCACAAGATCTTGTGCAGTGGATCAACAAGCCCTGAGTGGAGAATAGCATTTGCAACATTGAGTCAAGAGATCCAGAGGAAAGTGTAAATTTTGGGATCTCTCATTCTTTCGTCTTAGTTAGGCTGTCTTCATCAGCTTAATTCTTTTGAAATATTAACATAAGGAGGAGAAGGGGTCTCGGGTTGAGCCGCGTAGGAGATGTTAGTTGCGGTTGCTCATGGTATAGTTTTTGCTTTTGAATAGGCTGCAAAGAACAAATGCATTTTACTTTCCTTTGATATAACTAGAAAAAAAACGTTTAAAGTTAGAGTTTAGAGAGAAAAAAAAAAGTTCTAAGAAAAAATCTCAATATCCTGAAATAAGTTGTTATGTTGTTAGAAATGTTTCCTTTTCTTTTTCTGCTATAGTTTCGTACTAAAAAAGACCCAATGTTGGTACTCCCAGTGTCATGATAACTGATTTCATCTTATTTGAGACTGAGACGTATTTATTATTTTTGGTTTAATCGTCATTCAATACATAAACATTACTCCATGCCCAAGGCCTAGCTCGAGTGACAAAAGGTGGAGGATTTGTGACTTAGGTTGCAAGTTTAGACCCCACATCATGCAAAGCAAAGTCCGGTATTTAAGTGGAGAAGAGTAGAGGGGCTGATCCATTATTCATCGAGTTTACAAGGCTGTGATTGGACCAAAGGGCGGCGGGTCACAGGCGAGTTTCTCGGTTATAAAAAAAATGAAACTCGACTTACCCCAAACTGAGATCAATCTCGGTCTTTCTGACCCTACCCAGTCAAATACTCAGAGTTTCAAGGATCTATATAGTTAATTTTGATCACAATTTGCTGATGTAAAATATAATATTTCCAGAAAAGATAAAAAAGGGAATATAATGTTTGAATTGACTAAAAGTTACTGTGCAACGTTAAGTCTCCAATTAGTTACTATCTGTAACAAATTTCATCCAAGAAACAACCATTAGATCTTTATTTACTTCACTGTATAATCTTTCAAATAAACAAATAGACTTGCATATGCATTATTTCAGGAAAAAACAAAACCAAAATAAACCCAGCACCTCTGTAGAGATTTACACAAGAAAAGGAAGCAAAATTGACAGAAATGCTAATGCACTTGATGATCTAATCCTAGACTTAGCTGAAAAACTTCATCACCAGAAAAATTCCATCAAGACTCGATTTTCGGAAGCTAAAAAAAAAAAAGTATTTCTTCAAGCAAAACCCCAAGGGATAACAACTACTACTCTCTGTAAATCAACAAATGGATCAAGAAGTCATTGCTTTCATATTAACCTGCAAGACCAAAGTACTCAATTTAAGAAACCTCAAATTCAAAACTTCAAATAGACTCGTTTAAGGAAAAGGAATTGAACAAAATAATTGAAGTACCTTACTTGGAATCTGATGATCCCAATAGCTCAGATTTCTTTGACCAATATGGCTGGAACCTCTGCCTAGCATACCCCAAGTAATCGAAGTCTATCTTATTGACATGATGCTGAAAAACAGGAGGACATGAAGGATGTTAAGAAAAGCCTATGCAGCCGAATAACAACATTGTTGTCGAAGGCAAATAGGTAGAAAAGAGCCAAATCTGTTATGCCTTGGGCACAAACTGCGGCAAACCATATAATCTATTAATTGTTGACAGACTTCCAATATAAAGTTTTCTCTATTGACTGTTCTTTTGTGTACACAACTCATAACTACTTTTATCCTGACAGAATAGATAAGGTCAGGAGAAGTACCGATATTATTCCCCATAGACCCCAAAAAAGATGACTGGCAAGAGTATATTTCTCCACTTCTTGAACTAATTTCTCCAGTTCCTGTTCACTGGGAGAGCGACCTGTTTACCAGATTAACACATCTGAGATTCGTAATGAATAAAAGATAAATACTGATCGAAATCTTGAGATTAACTAAATGTATATAGTTGTTACTACTCTTGGTATACAGATATGAGCTTAAGAAAGCACCATCATGAAATATGAATGGTTCCACATATGATAAATGATAGAAGATGCAAGTTTTCATCTACCTGAACTAAAAAGATATGTACTCAAAAATCTTTTGCGCTCCTCCAGATCTGCCACATGTTGTAAGGGGTTTAATTAGATGTAACATAAATATCCAGAAAGTACTTGCTCGTGCCATTTCAGGGAATCAGATCAACAAAACAGATTTGCTTAAGATGATTTACCAGTGACTCACCAGGATATTTTCTGAAGTCCATAATATGAGGTGTTTCTGTATGGTAGTCAGCAACCATTTCACAAAAATGATTTGCTATATCAAATGCAACATGGTTGTAACCAGCATATTCATAGTCCTGTTAATAGGAAAGATTAAAGAAAATACCAGAAATTAAGTCCAAATAATAACTGTATGAACAGCACGAATTATTTGCAGAAATTAGACAATGTCCAACCCAGCAAGAAACAGAACTTTATCATTGAAAAGACAAGGCCTTCAATTTTTCTTGAAATGTTTAGGTTTTTCAAATATTTATCGTATCCTTTTGTTCCTTACCAAGTGGATGATCAATAACTGAAACAAAATACAAAGGAGAGAAACAAAAGTGCAGCTCCTAAATAAGTAAGAGCTTGAAGAAGTTTTTGAACCAGGACCCACCTACATCCTGCAGCAAACATGTCAGGATAAAGCACTGCCTAGTTATTGATCATGGAAGCCCAAATTAGATTTAGATGTAATCATCATACATGCAAACACTGCTATAGCTAAAATCTAGTGAGATATGCATCTCATTTAGTAAATTGTATTTGTCCTCTTAACTTTTCATCTGAACAGATCTATGAATAAAAAACTTAGTACTTACAATAAAGGTTATTGATCTCGTCTCTTCATCCATCATTATGTTCCCATACTGCAAGTCGTTGTGGCAGCATCCCGTGCTTAGATGATTGCCAGCAAGATTCCTTTCCAACAATACAATCTCGTCTTTTAGAAGGTCCAACCGAAAGTCCTTAGCTTCTTCAGTAGAAGCCAGACCTTTGGCCACATTAAGCCAATTTCTAGAGCATTACGAGAGCAAAAGGTTATTTAGACGTTTTGGTATAAGATAAACATAATTTAGCAGTTTTTATTCATCATATATACAGTAAAAAGAAGAGCATACTGCAGTCTATCCCAAAGGATGACAGTCTTAGGACCAGGCATATCAAGCACATGAAACTCTCTCATTTTGGCAGCTATCAAGGAAGATATCTCTGGATCGCGCAGATCAGGAGCTGATAATGTCTGAAATACCAATCATGGATATTGCATTACATTTAATGAATGTCCCCATTCTCCTGAAGTATCAGTAATTACAAGAGCATCACAGATAATAATAGATCACAGGTAAGTTAAGAATAGTGTCAATAAAGCATGAGATAAACCTAGGGAAATTAGGCAATCCTAGAGGAATCAGGCAAACTTTGAAGACCCCAGGAGCACTTACAAAGAAACTGCAATATGACAATAAGCTCTGAAGAACCTGAATCTGCTTGGCTTCATAATAATTAGGTTTAACAAAGGGAGGCCAGATGCTTTTGTCAAAGTATCACTATGAACTAACATGAAACATAAGTCTTTAAGCATCTAAGCCAGCCAGTCACATCAAGATTATCCAGAGGTGGCAAATCAAAACTTCAACAATAAACAAACCCAAATAGTGGGTTAACTTGAATGCATTATATAAGAAACCACTAGGATAGGGCTCAAAACCCTAAATTATTTGTTTTTTCTAAGGAGAGGTGGATAAGCTAACAGAAAACTTGGAGTTCTTAGTTTAATAAGCACTAACCTAATCATGATAGTAACATATAAGTGGATATTAGGCATTTAAGTGTTAATCTGGATCGCTTCTCATATCATTCAGCATTTACTCAACCCCTCTTCTGGTATCCTCAAACCCTGTAGCTCTTTCCCCAGGCAGCATAAGGTCACTTGGTTGTGACCTGAAAAGGCTGCCCTTGGCCCACTTCACATATACATCCTTCATCTCAACAGAAATACTTTTTATGTGTCCCAAATTGTTCATCTGTTTCGAATTTCTTCCTTCGAAATTCTTACCTGTCTTTCAGTTCATCACAGCAGTAATATTTCACCTTTAATTTCTTCTTTATCCTATGCTAATAAGCTTATTGATGGACATGAAACATGGAGACAGCAGTAACCAGTAGTGGGGGAGATACATTAGGAAACCCCTCTGCCGGTTTTTTAGGATAATGGGCAAGAAAGTCGAGATTATTATGTTTGATTAGACCTATTAGTTCAGCTTATACCAAACAAGAATTATATGAATAACAATGGCTAATTATGCATTGGCAGCTATTACTTGATCTAAATTTTTACCAACCCAATCATTCTTTCGAAATATTATGCAGAAACAGCAAACGGGTATACATTCCTTTCAGTAAAGGGAAAGGAAATTTGTGTAGTCTTTGTGAAGAGGTGGTATTGAAATAAAATCACCTGTGAAGACCCAGAAAACTTATCATTTAAGAAACTTGCTTCAAATTCGGATCAAGGTAAGCATACTGCAGAAATTTATGAAATTAACCAGTTGATTACGCTGACCATCTAGGAAACTATTCTTCTGGATCCTAGATGAGACTATCAGGATCTAGCAAAGCATCTTCCTAGAGAAAGATACTTTCAGATCAATGAAAACTATCAGAATCTTGTCAAAATTTTGAAATTCTAAATACCAAGAGAGAAATTCTATTAAATTTTCTATTGCACAAATGTTTATGTACGCAGATGTATATAAACAACAGGAAAAAATTACACAGCACTAGAAGGGAAGGATAAATATAGAGTACCAGTGAAACTTAACCTAAATTCTCCCTCATTTACATGTGAATTGTTAGCATTTAACATTACGAATTAGAGGAATGGAGAAGAAAATGATGGCCGAATTAGATACTTCTAAATTTTTTAGATACAGGGAGTATTAAACTCTAACTAAAACCTAAAAATCTTGTGCCTCAAATAACTATGATTGCAATTGAGTAACAAAGTTAACAACTAAACATCACACTGATAGGCCAAACCGCCAAAGGTAATACGCTGCCCCTCCGTCTCATAGAGTCATCAAGCAAGAACATATGTCAAACATAATCAAATCATACTAAGGTCTATTTTTGGGCATTAGACCTTACATTTACATCCAAAATGGGTTCTTTGTTTTTAACCGGAAAGTGGAGTAACAGCATGAAAACAAAAGCACATATACAACATTGAGGATTATACCGTATACCATATTATCAAATTGTACCCACCATTGCATGCCAGAAAAATCACTACTTAATCACAAAGTATCAGCTTAAAAGCACCATACGCCATTCTTGTAGCAGTCATAACAATAACAGAAACAATAGCAACAGCAGGCAGTAAAAAAAGAAAAAAATATTCACAAGGATGATGATGATCACCATCACATACTCCATCCATCCTAAAATTATCCATGTTAGAACCCAAGGGTGTGGGGCCTATTGGTCAATGCAGTGATTTGAGGACCATGAGGTCTCAGGTTCGAATTCCAACAGAGATGAAAACACTAGTGATCTCTTCTTATCTGTCCTAGACTTGGTGGATAGAGTTACCTAGAACCATCTGTAGTTGGGACTTGGGAGGTAGCATGTACCTCGTGGAATTAGTCAAATGTGCCAAAACCACTAATGATTTCTTCGTATCTATCCTATACTTGGTGATCAGAGTTACCTAGAATCACCTGTAGTTGGGAGGTGGCATGTACCCGTGGAATTAGTCAGATGTGCCAAAAACACTAGTGATTTCTTCCTATGTGTCCTAGACTTGGTGGATAGAATTACCTAGAACCGTTTGTAGTTGGGAGGTTAAACTAATGAAAATCAAACGAGAACTTCAGCTAAAATGCATATTTACACATCCATGCAGATAACGAAAATTGTATAAAGTCCATTTATAAACTTCAGCTCCAAAAAAAAAAAATGATTTACGGAAAGAAAAAGCAAAAACTGACCCGAGCTCGAATGAATTCCTCAATACGACCACTCTGAAATCGACCAAGTAAGCGAGGTCCTTGGCCTTGCTTAGACATAAACTCGAAAATCTTAATTTCATTCTGCCGATCAAAGAACACATCCACGCCTTTCCCATAGATCCTCACCAACACCTTCCTAGATCGCTGTTGTTCCGGGTTCCTACTGGGCCATTTGATTTGATACACCTCGTTCGTCATCGCGCCCTTCAATCTGAACACATCTAATGCATTCGGATCCACTATATCGTCCCATTCTGATGCCAATTTCTTCAATTTCACCTTCGCTTCTTCAGGGATCACGTCCTCCTTGTTCACTGATTTTGAATTTTCCATGGTATCACATTCAATCAAATGCCTGCGAAATGTTTGAAGTTATGTTTGTTTCCAAATGAGAGGTGCTAGGAATGTGCTGGTCTTATTTATTGCGTGGCACCTATAAGGAGTGTTTCGTAAAAGTTACCCCACAATATTTTTCATTTTTTATTCGAGACTTGACTCTAGCCCCAATCTAATTCGGAATCTAATGCCCAACTCGAGACCCGGACCCGATCCTAAATTATGACCCAACTCTCGACTCGACTTTGAATCAACATAGAACCAAATTCTCGACTAAAAACTTGACTAAATTACGGATTGGTGTCAGATTAAGGTCGTGTGATGTTAGTAAATATTTTTAAAATAATATTTTCTTTCTTACTAATTGAACATGAAAAAATAAGTTAAAAAATCATTTTTTTTTTCTGTGAAGAATTTAAATATAGATTTATACCTTCCTTGTTGATGATGAATCCTTCTCTCAATGAACAATGTATTATTATAACACGACTCACATACATGTGCAATGCTTGTGCACACAAACTGATGTAGAAGTTGTTGCTTGTGAAATGAACTTCAAAAAAAGGAAAATTGATATATATCACCAAATTACTAAGATGTAAATATTTTGTTACACAAAAAGATAAGATACGACCACTTCTTACATCATCATACTATCTCTTGAATAACAAATTCAACAATGCTCAACAACAAAATTATTCAAAATAACTGAATCCTGGTTCTATGGGCAACACCTAATTAATCAAATATTTCCATGATCAAACTTTACTAACCCTGTACTAACATCACCATTAGTCCTTTACTATCTCAGACTTGCCATTTTCCTTAGCACCATCACTCTCTGGTTTTTCCTTGACACTAGTAGTCTCCATCGACGCCCCATTTTCGTTCACATCATCAGCACTTTTCGCTTCTTCAGCAGCAGCAGCATCTTTCTTTTTCTTTTCGTTCTCGTTCTCTTCCTTCTCCTTCTCCTTCTCGGCCTTGGCCTTTTCTTCCTCAGCCTTCAATTTTGCTTCCACTTTTGCAGTTTCAATAGCTTTAATTAACCTCTCCAAGCAAGTGCTTGCATTTTCCTTAGAAGACTTGGGCATCAAACTCTCAGCAACGTCAGCAGGAGTTATATTAGTTTCCCCTAATAAACGACGAATCTCAGGAAAGTAATCATCATGAGACGTAACGTCTAGATAATTATTTGCAAGCACCTTGAAGGACTCAAAACAACAGTATGATAGCTCAATGTGTTTGTCCATTCTCCCCCTTCGAATTAAAGCAGGATCAAGCTTTTCGACAAAATTGGTTGTGAAAACAATAAGCCTTTCGCCACCAATAGCTGACCACAAACCATCAATAAAGTTCAAAAGCCCAGATAAAGTTACCTCACTTTGCTTTTTCTCCTCTCCTGCTTTTTTCAACTCCTCCTTGATGGGGTCTTTCTCAACTTTCTCGTCCTTCTCCTTCTCCTTCTTCGGCTTCCTTTGGCCAGTAAGATCGAGGGAGCAGTCAATGTCTTCAATCACAATGATAGACTTACTAGTAGTATCTATCAATAACTTTCTCAGCTCCGTGTTGTCCTTAACGGCTGTCAATTCAAGATCATAGACATCATATTGCAAAAAGTTAGCCATAGCAGCAATCATGCTAGACTTACCTGTTCCTGGAGGACCATAAAGAAGATAACCACGCTTCCACGCCTTACCAATCTTAGCATAGTAGTCTTTTGACTTAGAAAATGTTTCGAGATCATCCTTAATCTCTTGTTTCTTGTTTGGCTCCATAGCTAAAGTATCAAATGTTGACGGATGTTCAAACACTACTTGACTCCACATTCTCCTGTTATAACCACCAAATCCACCATCCGATCCCTTATTATTCGTGTACAATTTCCTCTGCCTTTCTCTAACAGAAATCGCCTTCCCTTCATCCAACACATATTTTAAGTATGAAATGGTTATGAGATCACGATTTTTCCTATGAAACTTAAGCTTGAAATACCTATTCTCATCCTCCTTCGCGTACAAAGCAATTGTCGGTCTATTAGCTTCTTTTAGGCTAGATATCCACCAAACCTTCGCCCCTTCATAATCATCTGTTACCTCCTCATGATCATCCATCGATAGCACAAGAGATTGACCATCTTTCACTACACTGGCTTTTAGACGCTTAGCTTGTATACTGGAGTTCTTACTTAAATACCTTTCGATAGCTACGTAAGCTTTACTACGCTCAAACCAACCATCAGTTTCATATTCATGAAATGTAATATGTATATAAGGATAGATATAGCTCACAAGTTTATCGGTATACCTTCGAAGATGGCCACGAAGTTCATGAGGGAAATAGTTCTGGTACATGGTCCAGGCAAACATGATTGTTGCAATGGCTGGACCTAACTGATTCCAAACATCTTGCATCATCATCATAATTCTTTCACTTTGGGATATAAATTAGAACTATAGTATATGTGATTGTTCACTAAATAATAGCCTTATATAGAAAAAAAACAGTATTATCTAAGTTTAATTTTTTCAAAGAAACTACAGAGTGGCTGCCTATGTTGCTTTTCCACCGGCCATATTATTAGAAAACAATTTTTTCAATATTAATTGTCTTTTTCCAAAGCATATCGTCATCTTTAGTCATTATAATTACGTAATATGTTGGTTAATCTCCATTATTGCCATTGTTTAAGTACATAAGAGTAGGAGCAGACTGAGGTAGGGCTGATTAGGCGAAAGATTACACCATTTATACATGATTAAAATTATTATATATATATGTGTGTGTTGTATAACCTAATGTATAATTTATACATACCTATTAGAAAAAAGTAAACGATAAATCTACTCGGCTATTCATGTTAAAGTATGAAACTAAATGTGAATGGTATAAATATAATTTACGGAAAAGGGTCAAAATTGCCCTCGAACTATATGAAATAGACCATTTATACCCTTCGTTACATTTTGGGATAAAAAATGCCCCTGCTGTTATCCTAAGAGACCACAAATACCCTCAAGAGTTAACACCCAAAATTTTTGTTGACGTGGCAAGCCACGTGGGACTAATCCTTCCACCTAAGCGTTGTCAACTAGGATTCACTACAAAAGAACTAGACCTTTAGCGACAACAACAGTCACCACAAAAGCCCAGAAAATCGTCACTAAAAGTTTTTAACATTAAATTCTAATTTTGTGTTTTTTTCTCCATTGTTTTTAAAAAACCAAATATGATATCGATTAAGTAGGAGTTTGAAGACACTATATGTTTTATTTTTATGTCATATGTAAATGTATAAAATGTACAATGATGCATTATATATATATATATATATATATATATATATATATAGTAGGAGATTTGAATCGAGAAGTAATTTTGATTATTTTTCGTAATAATATTGGATGTTTTTAATATGGATATTGCAAGTTATTTATTTTAGAAAATTAGGTCGCAATCGAAAATTAATTATCATATTTTTTTGTTGAAAAAATAGGTTTTACTAGCGAATGGTTGTTGGAGCCTTAGTCGCCACTAAAAATCACTCATAACCTTTAGTGGCAATATTTTGGGATTTTGTGGCGACTTTGTCGCCACTAAAAGTCAAGTTCTTTTGTAGTGAATCTTAGTTGGCAATGCTTAGGTGGAGGGATTAGTCCCATGTGGCTTGCCACGTCACTAAAAAATTTGAGTGTTAACTCTTAAGGGTATTTGTGGTCTCTTGGGATAACTGCGGGGGTATTTTTGATCCCAAAATGTAATGGAGGGTATAAGTGGTCTATTTCGCATAGTTCAGGGATAATTTTGACCCTTTTCCGTATAATTTATTGACTTACTATTGAGTGGTTAACCCGTTAAAAAAAAAACCTCAAATCGTTTAGAGCAAATAATCCAATATAAAAAATAAAATTATTACCGAAATCGCTAAATTAATAAGTTTTATTTAGTTCGGGGTTATTAATTTATTTTCGATTTTGAACAATCCTATCCGTACGAGTCAAAATTTTAGTTTTAGACCGCACAAGTTATGCCTTAAAAGATATTATTTTTTTCCTTTCAATACTTTAAGTAAAAAAATAGATGGTCAAAATGTCTCTCACACTTAAAATAACAAATAACTTTCGCTCACTCCACATAAATTTATATTTTCGTATCACAATATAACACGACTAACGTCGTAACTTGCCTAACTTAATTTCTATAGAAAATATATCACTAAAAGTAAAAAATTTAATTTTTGAGCTCATAAATTATATAAACTTTATGTTAAGTGAATTAATCATAAATAAAGGTTCTTCAATACAAGCACCTAATGCAATGAAAGTTGTACATTTGCTGTACCTGTTAAGAGCAGAAATGGCGACGACATCACCGGGCGAAAGGCCCAACTGAATTAGCCCATGGGCCAGGCCCAAATCTCCCCCGACAAATTTCATGCCGGTCTTCCTCCTCTCTCCGATTATCATCAACGTTGAGCTCCGGCGAGCCGTCGACAGCCAGCTCAAGCACTGGCAAATATGAGACTTGGAGTAATTAGCCATTCTTCTGGAGGATAAATTCGGAATTTCCTAATTTTCCTTCGTCGATAGTTCGTCTGAGCAAACAAAATAGCCAATTATTTTAGCTCTGTATTTCAGAGCAAACTATCGTTTGGTTGTAATTTAAGTAAAGTACTTGAATAACTATTTGTTTGAACAGGAAGACATTTTTGTCCAGAAATATTGGTCGATCCTTCGTTTATATCCCGTTATGTTAGGATAAGTTATGTGATTAGTTATAATGAGATTATTTTTTTATTGATTGTTGATTTGTCATGTACAAATAATATGCGTGACATAATTTTTGAGAAGGAGTTGTTTGCTTATAAAAATTCTTTTCATTTTATTTAGTTTTTTTATACTTTCTTTACAAACTTTAGTTATTTACTTTTAAAATTAAAAATTTCATCTTATTTAGCTTAAATATATTTGTGTGTACATTCTCGTAATTATACTGTGTGTTTTTTAATATAAAACATCCATCTTATTTAGCTTTAAGAAAAAAAAAATCATCTTGAGTTTGTTGAAGTAAAAAATATTTTATTGTTGGTGTCACTTTATTTAAGCGCATATATTTTATACAATTTTTCAAGTGATTAAAAGACTTTTTAATTACAAAATTGTAACGGAGTGAACAATTAAGAGAAATAAATATATAAATAACATAAGAATTAGTCAAATAAATTCAATGTATAATATATACATAAATAAAAACTATATTTATATCATGTAATTTTTTAGTAAAAAAATATGTAATCATAAAAATAACGAGTAGTGAAAATTGTGAATATTATTATAAATGTATTAAAATTTATTTTCATATAATATTATTGAATTCCCGCGCTAATTTTACTAGTAATCATATATATATATAAAAGAGAACCTTAGGTCCGCCTACGTGGCGCCATCACAAACCAGGATTCCCTTTTAATTTATTTATTTCCAAATATATATAAAAGAGAACCTTAGGCCAGCCTACGTGGCGCCACCACAAATCAGAATTCCCTTTTAATTTATTTATTTTCAAAACTAGCCTTCCCCTTTTATGAAGAGTTGCGACTTTTATGAAAAATTGTGACTTTTATGAAAAGTTACGACTTTAATGAAGAGTTGCGACTTTTATGAAGAGTTGAGACTTTTATGAAGAGTTGCGACTTTTATGAAAGGTTGTGACCTTTCCGAATGGTTGCAACTTTTCCAAATAGTTGTAACATTTCCGATAAGGCACAATAAACATTTGTTCATACTACCCTTTGTTGTCTATAAATAGAGGAATTTCCTCTTATTTTAACACAACGAAAATTCTGAACCTCCTCTTCTTTTTCACAATTAAATATTTGTGTATTTGCTCTTGTTGAGTGGCTAACTGACACCATTGCTTATGTTACAGATGCCGGTATGTATTTTAATAACCATTAATTTATGCTTATATTATTAACGATAAATGATAAGATGTAATATTTTTCATTTTCCTTTACATTATTAATATTTGTTACTACGTAATCTTGTATGTAAGACAATATAATGTTTTAGTTTTAATGAATGATAGATTTTAAGTATTATTTTATAAATTTTATGATATTAAATTCCCGTGCGAAGCGTGAATAATTTTACTAGTATATCATATATAAGAATTGCATATTGTGAATTGCCGAGGATTGCCACGTGGCACAATTGAAGGCGGCAACAGATAAAGAATTGATGCGGCACAGTTCAAGCAAAAATTGGATTCCTTTTTATTTTGAACTAGTGAATTTGTCCGCGTTTTGCGCGGCTATAAAAGACGATAAGATATCAAATATACGATAATAAAATATTCATATAAAATATAAAATAAAAATAAATCATCAAGAGAACGTACGAAATAAATAAATAATACTACATCATTCTTATGACCTTAATCATTAAAAAACAAACAAAAAAAATATGAAATTAATACATAATTATTCGATTTAATTTCGACGTGACGACGTACCCCCACAAGTTGTTCACCATACAAATAGCCTTCCTTTTGTACTTCAAATCAGCCAAAAACATGAATATAATAAGCACCAGAAACATAACTTAAAAAGGCAATAATGTGATATTTTTACTATGTCTTAGGTTATCTCAATTTATAACACTATAATATCAAATATCAAATTTTGTCATGAATATGACTGTTAATTATTTTAGGGATTATGAGGATAAAAAGTTATGGGAGTGATAAATATAAAGACCATTAAATTTTACATTAAATAATATGAATGAATGGTTAATTGGCATATTTATTTATTATATAATATACAAAATAAAGAGAAATCATAGAGAGAACATATGAAAAAATAAAATAATGTAATATTATTCCTATGGTCTTATTCATTAAAAAATAAAAGAAAAAATACACTCTCACAAGCCGATCACCATTCAATAGTTTTCATATTATACTTCAAATCAAATTAAAAACATGAATATAATAAACATAAAAAAACATAACAACTTAAAAAATTAATGTAATCATTTTTACAAAATTTTATAATATCTTCATCTTTAACTCTACAATATAAAATACCTAATAATATTTTTAAATATGGAGGAATACATTCAACACTACATAAATTAGATAGACATAACTATATTATTTCTTTAATCATCCTTTCTAAGTATACCATAACTGAATAAAACTCATAACAATAGATGAATAAATTATACAAAGAAAAAAAAACAGAAGATGGTTTTAATTTTCACAATTCTTTTAATTTTCTAAAGAAAGTTCATCAAATACGAAAAAATAATAGATAATTTAATTTAATTAGCTGCCAAATGAGTGACTATTCTACTAAAACTAAATAATTAAAAATAAATAAAATAACATATTTACACAACCTTCTACCATACATATATACTGATAGCAAACAAAAAGTTAGTGGAATACAAATTTTCAAGCATAATATGAAACTACAAAACTAAAAAGTCATAAACATAATTATGATTGCATCAAATTGGCAGAAGCATTGGCAGCTGAGTTTGGTGGAAAATGGTGTAGCCAACAAGGCTTAACTAATTTCACTCTTGAGCTAGATTCCATGATCATTGTAAATATGGTGAACAACAAGAGCAATAACAATCTCAAACTCAGGCAAATCATCGATAATATCGTTGAGATTGTGGATCAATTGAATGCCCAAGTGACTCACTGTTTTAGAGAAAGCAATCAACTTGCAGACTTTTTAGCGAAAAGGGCTGCTAGACTGAACCAAATGATGATTCTAACATCTTTCAGGCCACTTACCGAAATGGCTAAAGGTGCATACTTTTTGGATAAGTGTCAAATGCCTTGTATTAGAACAAAATTTGATAAGGCTATTTTTTTGTTAGTTGATTTGTATATATTTGAATCTGTCAGAAGATTTATATCCTCCTATGAGATTATGATCTTCTAGCTCCTGAGGTGACTAGCTCACTGTGGTGTTGTCATGGAGGTAAGGCTTCAGCCCCCCTCTTTTTTTTTGTATCTCATAAATACAACAGAACCCAGCTATACTGGGTAATTTTATTTTTTTAAAAAAGATTGCATCAAATTGAGAAAAAGTAAGAAGAATTACAATTTCGAAAAGAAATTAGGGAAAAAAAAGTAAAGATTTGGCCCCTGAATGTACTTTCATGTATAATTTTTGAGGAAATAAACACAGATTACTTTCTTTTCTTTTAGTTTTTACCGTGTTATCTTCAAAGTCTCCATATTGTCTCATGAACTACTCATATCAAGATATCTACTCAAGAAGAACAATTAATTCTTTGATTTATAGATGCAATAGATTAAACATACGTTAAATAGTGAAAAACTTAAAGACTGTTATGCAATCGAAAGGGCATATTGCAACTTAATGACCCATTATTTCAATTTAATTTTAACCACTTTAATGACCCATTATAATTTATAATGTAATAAATATAAATAATAATGAAAGAAATAATTCATTTTTTTAAAGGTTTGAAGAAAGAAAATAAGAAAAAAAATTCAAAATTATGAGAAAATAAATAAATAGTAATAGAGGCCAATGAGGCATGCCACATCAGCGGATTCATTTTCAGCTTTATTAATATATATAGATTTCTAATTTGTTTTGGACTTGGTTATTTTATTTAGGTTTTTCTAATAGTCCATAGAAATAAATATTTTGGAGGATATCAATCATAGGGCATCAAATTATAAAGTTGTCAATACTTTTTAGGGTTCGTTTTTTCTTCTTTCTTTTCTTAGAGATTAGTGGTTAAACGCCCTTGTTGTGTACGGATTGATTGTTGAATATTGAAGGTTTTGAATTAATTCTTGGTTATCATTATAAGTTACTTTTATATTCTTGTTTTAGTATTTCATGCTTTATCACCATAAAAATAAATCTATTGTCTATTCTTAAAATCGAGAGAGGAGAGGGTAGATAAACCAAAGAATATAGAAAGCTCAATCATCCATTGAGTTGATGTGTGTTCAGGAGTGACGCTCGGACGAACAACTTGCTTGGTTACAAAATAGAATGAAATATAAATGCTCGCTAGTAGGCATGTCTATGCCCGCTCAACGATATAGTAGGAACAACTAATTGGAGTGGGCGACTAGAGGTCGAGAGACCCAACTCATACAACCCTGTATATCAGTAACTTCATAACTGAAATTAGTTCATTGCCTGAGATACGATACATGAAGTCCAATGCATGTTGCAGCCCTAGAATTTTCCAACCATTGTAAGTAATCTTATTATTTTATTCATGCATTCTTTATTTTTGACACTCTTAAATAAATAATTAGACCAGTATAATTTAGTAAAAATAGTTAATTGACAAGTCCTAGGTTCGATAATCTGATTCTTTTAAGAGCCACTATATTACTTGCGCAACCGCGTACACTTGCATGTTGAGAGATATAAGAGATGAGAGGTATAATGAGAAATGAGAGAAATTAAGAGGGTGAGAGGTGAGAGGTGAGATGTGAGAGATGAACCTGGAGTTACTGGAAAAGGTGTACCTTATAGCATTTCCATTTGATTTTTAAGGTCCAAATTGATACTCCC